GCTCCCCCCCCGTCCCCCCCCCCCCCCCATCTCTCCCACGTGTGCGTTTCCAGCACTGATATTTGGGCTGCCCTGGAGCTGAGCTCTAATTGACAGGTTAATAGAGGGAGGAAACGCTCTGGTGGGGAAAAAAAGAGAATCATTAGTAGGTTTGCAGTAACTGTGCAATGCGGCAGGCCTTGGCAGTTGGCACCTGGGTTAGTGCAGAGTCAGTCTTAAAAAATACCATATTGGAGGGGGGTCGGTCGGGCGGGGGTTGCTGCCTCCGCTGACAGGGTTTATGGGGTATCAGACAACAGTGCCGGCAGGAAAATTCAGGCAGGTTTGGCACATGAGCACACTAATACACTTAGAAATACACACTGGAGCACAAACACACATTTGGTTTAAAACTTTTTGAAAACTTTTTTTTCCCCCAGTATGGGTGGGAATTTCTAACACTGACAGAAAATAGCAGAGTTTTAGACATGTAGCATAATAATTCCATAGGGCTCTTTGAGGTATTTTGGAGTTTCATATAAATACTGCAGTGCATAGTATATAAGTATTCGGGACCATAGTATTACTGTCTGATACTGCCACGGTACTTTTTTGTAAGGGAGGCAACCCAGCAGACAGGGAACATTCCCAGAATTATGGCTACTGTTTTGATAAGGCTCTCCCCTAATTTATGAACAAATGTTCTTGCAGTATGTTAAAGAGACAGTTCACCCATAAATGAAAATTCTGTCATCATTTACTCCAAAACGGTATGAGTTTCTTTCTTCTGTTAAACACAAAAGAAGATATTTTGAAGAACGGTGGTAACCAAACAATTGACGATAGCCATTGGCTTCCATAGTATTTCATTATTATTATTATTATTATGGAAGCTAATGGCTAATGTCAACTGTTTGGAACAAGAGGAGGGTGAGTAAATGATTACTTATTTTATTACAGATTATTTCCAAGGAAACATTTCGCATTTTCAATAGTTTTAAATTGATGTACAAAAACAAAAACTGAAATAAAAATAACAAAAACCCTAGACAAACAAAACAAAACAAACAAAAATTCTATATAGACTTATATATAGTCTTTATTAATTTTTATTTTAGTTTTAGTTATTTTAGTACATCAGATTAAACTACAGTAAAGGAAATTGATAAATGTTATCATGCCTTGGAAACTATAAATAAGTTGTTGTTGTTTTTTTCTCCAGTTAACATTTATTTCACGTAACAAAGTATTTTAACTGATTTGAATATAGCCATTTTGAATATGTACAGCTGCACCAAAATTTAAAAGAAATTATTTTAATTTTTTTTCAATTTTATCATCTTGTCAGTACATGTGGAGAATCTAAGAAAATGTGTGCCAAGACCTTTCACTTTAAATCAGCTCAAATCATCCAGAGTTTAAGACACTGAACACTTGCACAACAGATAGAACATCTTTCAAGACATCCTTCAAGACATAGCCTTAAGCAGTTCAAACTAAACAACAACCGAT